TGCCCTTTGCCGTGCTGATGTTGATACATGCCTTACTTCTTGCCTATCTCACACTGCGAATTTTTTCTAAGCTCTATACTAAACATTAAATCTATTACGAAAAAAGAACTAAACAAAATGAACACAAAACGATCAGCTCGTAACTGGAAAAACCGAATGAAAAAAGAATGTTAACAACAAATACTTTTTCACACCCAACCCATTTTCTGCGGAATCAGAATCAACATTGAGTTTAAGCAAGCGAATCAGTTAATTGAAGTAAAGTGCCATGCAGATTTAAATTTTTCCCACTTGTGACGAATGCAGCTATCGATTATTTTTTTGCATGCTAGCTTGCTAGTTAACATTCGTGTCAGTCAGCTGTTTGCTCTCACGCTGTCCAATAGAATCTTCCTGCCTATTCGTGGCAGCCAGCTATAGGCTCTCACTCTGGCCAGTAGAAAATGGACGCAAACTACATGAAAACCGCCGTAAAAGCATGAAAAAATCGATTATTTCCACTATCGATGTGAGTTTGGAAATGCAGCGCCGGTCTTGGCCTTCCCACTAACTTGGAGCATGTGCATGTAAATTTTGGTGCAAATCCATCAAAAATTGCGGCCGTGCATTCGTTACACACATACACACACACACACACATCCTGCCTTTTATAGATAGAGATGCGTATATGTGTAATAGATAACATTTAATACTAGGCATGAACTGGTTCAAATTGTCATGATCATGGGAGCATACTTTTGGGAGCCGGTTCCACAAATTAGTGGTTCGTGGGGGGGAAGCTGCTTGAGTGGTACTTACATCTCACCAAAGCAATATGAAGAGAATGAGGGTGATTCGCTACAATGTGTGTGGCATGGCGGGTCATAGCCGTAAAGGTTTGGAATGGTTTAACGAAGGAGTGTAGTTCTATTGGACACCCTCTCCGTGGAAAAGCGATAACACAACGAGAGGCTTGAGATATTTTAATTCTAATAATCTCTTTTTGAAAAATAAACATCGCCGAGGATTGAAGGTAGTTAGAATAATATCTATGTCAAGGGGGAATAAAGTCCTTTTAACCCAACGTTGTTTGTTTGGTGCTGTTTTTGCGACCACAAAGATTAACAATTGCCGAAGATCTACTCAGATAGCATTTTCCTTTTTTATTTAATCGGAGAGCGGAGTTCTAATTTTGGTTGAGTTCATTAGCTTCCCGTCTCAAAAAAAAGAAAAAAAAAAAAAAGAAATTGTAAAAAAAAGTATGACTCTACATTCCCCCCAGCTATGGGTTAATTATTAAGACTTGTATCAGTAAAACATTATTATTAAAAAAAAAAATCTTACATTGGAACATAGTTCTGCGAGGATTCTCTCCGATCATTGCAATCTTAAACTCTTCAAATCTATAGCCAACCGTTATCCATCCTACATATTCTCATAATATGCAGTTTTTTCTGCACCCCCTTACGCTTTTATAAAAACCTCATTCAGTGGTCCTCTCCAGGACTTGTATTTGGTGAAGAATGGTATCAAAAAGACCCCTCCAGAGAGAATGGTAATACTTATAGGGACATAGAGGATTTGTCACTGAACCCGCTTCACCCAGAGAGTGTTATAAAGTTGAGTATAGTGTGAAATTTCAAGCGATCTCGTGACTTCTTTTCTGGGAACGCTGCAAGATGTGTAATAACTTCATTCCCCACCCGAATGAGATGTACTCCATGGGGTCCAGCTAATATTAATTTGTAAGCCCCAGGTGCAGTGTGTATTTATCCGTACAGCAACGTCGTTACTAAATGCGATCGATGTTTAATTTAAGAGACGTTTCGAAACATCATCAAGCCTACGCGACACTTTCTCTTTCCGGGACATCTCAGGTGTTGGGTATTAACCCAAACCTCTCCAGAAGGTCAGGTACTGACTAAAGAGACGGTCTTTCGGAGCTTGAGTTAAAATTAACTTTTGACTACAGCAGCTGCATTCATATCACACCAGAATGTGACACTATGTCGGTGCTTAATATATGATTTCCGGAAATACTGTACAAAAATTTATCGAACCTCTCCGGAACCGTGTGAAGAATTCAGCCTTTTCCCAAATGAGAGGTACTACCAAGGAATTAGTATATTGTGGTGAAGCATGTTATTTACTTTTTAGTAGTTTAATTTTTAGTTGTCATTTCATTATACTAGCTTCGATAAACTATACGTATATATAAGGTAAAAAGTGATGATTTAAAAATCAAATTTAAAAAGAAACATATGCTGAATGCATTAAAACAAATATTTCCTTCTTCCATTTTAATTTTAAATTATCAGTAGCATATATCGATTGTCTGGTACCGTATAGGCCTGTAGATACATACGCTTTTGTCCAGCGAATCAATTGATGTTATTAGGTGTTAGATCAAAACCTGTGACAGGGCAAGAGGAGAACCTCTTGTGTCTCCAATATTGGCCAGCAAATCAGTTTTGTCGTTCAGCGGAGAAGCCATCGTTTCCAGTTTAAGCTGGCACCGTCTTCTCAATAGGCCTCTCTTCGAGAGAATTCATGAGGAATAATGGAACTTTAAAGAACCGATCGAGTAGGTGGTCTGGAACAAATGGTGCCAGGTTGCATAGAAAATTGAATAAAAGCGAGAGAATTTCGAGACCCAGGCAGAAAAAAAAAGAATCGAAAAAGTGAGAAAAACGAACAAGAGAGAGAAATGGAAGAAAAGGAGGAGAAACGGAAAGAAAGATAAAAAACAAAAAAACGGAATATAAAAAGTAGGTATACCGTTCTAGGTGTCACGTGGTTTTACATTATTGATAATCATACTTCTAAAAGATCCATTAATATTTCATTCCTATTAGTGTTTTAAAACGCTAAACTGCATTTATTTTTTTACACGACTTTTCTCTTCAGGACGCAGACGACAATACTTCTCTATGCATTCCTTTTTTATTAACTGTGAATTGACAATGTTTTGGGGAATATCAGGAAGTGGTTTCCTGTGGCTTTCTCCAGTTTCTTAATTAAGAGTTGTCATCCTCCTCGACTGGCTGCCAACCAAGGCCCAAAATAACTGTCTACCTTGCAATTTTACTAATGGCTTCATAGGGCAAATTAATTTTTCATTTATTTTAGAAAATCGATATTGCACTCAATGTAAAAGCTGGGGTTTGATGTCGTAAGTATTGACATTAAAGATTAAATTCATAAATTTTATGACTTTTTGAGCATTTAGTTTTAAAAAGCCTCTATAAGATGTACAGAAATTCCTAATTTATACAGGTTTTGCTTACAAATCGAATCCAAAATTTTACGATTTCAAGAATAAATTCAAATAAAGTTGATATCTTTTGTATCAGAGATGTTGAATAGAAAATATATTAAAACCAGAATTCTGATTATGAAGCAAAATATGCAATTTTTTGTACTGTATTCAATAAGTAAATCCTTTTAAAAAATTGTAAAACATTGCAAAAAAACTACTCAATGAATACGATTTGTTAGATCATAATTAATAAAAAACAAAATGTAGATAACATCATAATGGCGCTGGGAACAAATTATAAACGAAAATATTTTAAAATTGCATAGTTCTTTGAAAATTAATTTAAAAGTACTGTACAGTATAACATATTACATAATAATATAGCTAAATTGATCAGTATAATTTCCCTTTGAAGTAAATATAAGTCTTATTTCATGGTACAGTGATTTAGTAATAATTTGCTTGTGCTTTGCATTGTGTCCATATACATTTTGTAAAACAACTGGAAATTATAAATGTCAGAAAGCTGTGCTATAAAACTTTTACGTATCACAGGAATGAAATTCAAACGATTCGATTTTGAATCAAAATTTAATTTCATTTCCTCAATAAACGTTAACGATTGACAAACACGTATGGTGTGTCGTTATTTAACACGACAGACCACAACTTTCAAATTTGAGTGCAATCCCACGGTTCCAAAATCGACCTGCCGTAATGGATAAGAAATTGTTTTCACTTCTGGTCATCTGAAAGCAGCCAACAAAACCGGAACTTGAACTCAGCTCGCTGATTTCGTTTTCACTGGCGATAACCATAACGCTATTGACATAACCCTGGGTAATAAGAATAAAGCGGACAGCATATAGACACAGATATAAAACGAAAAAAGAAAGAAAGAAAAACAATAAAAAAGAAAATAATGCAGTTAAAAATATGGGAAAGAAAACGAAGAGAAAAGGACGAAGAAAAGAATGAAAATTTTAAACAATGACGAAAAGAAAAAAAAGCAAACATGAATGAAAAAAGAATTAAAAGTAAAACAAAAGAAATATGTAAAAAATAATAGTAATAAAATAAAATCAATATAAAATGAAGATTACTTTTTAACAATTCGACCACCTTTCAGGCCGTAGGCGATCATGGCTCCCCACAGACTCCCTCGTCTGAACTATCTGTAAATTGCCATGGAATTTTAAAAGCTAGGACAGTAGTGCCAAGTTTGAATATCGAATAGACCTTTTTCCATCGACAGCTAGACATCCTACTTTATCCTATTATTTAACTCTTAAATTTAATGACTATTTAATCGGGAAGGTAACCAATCTTAGAGAAGGAAAACACTGATCCTAAATCTCTGTTGCCTTGTGAAATACCTAGTCATGGGAAAGGCTTCGGAAGTTAACCCCGAGGAAAAAAATTCGAAACTGGAGCCTTTAAGGCAGTCAATCACTGATTTTACCTCGTTCTGTCAGCTCCTGTGACGGCGTTGGTGCTAATCTATAATCGTCCTGCTTTTCCTTTGGATCCATCAGCGACGTGGAGAGGAGGGACATGCTGCATGAGCAACATCTTGCCTTCCATATTATCTTACATAGGATTGATCCTAACTTACACCTGACTCTAAAGAAAAGGGATCGATCCGTGTCTTTTCCAAGAGTATTATTTAACTAAGTGATGAAAAGGGTCAGACATTGACTGGCTTCCTGTTGGAGACCAGTCCATAAACAAATCAGTTAGGCTTATGGCTATATGACGTTGAAACTCTTACGATCACCAAATTTAAGCAACGTTGAGCCTGGTCAGTACCTAGGTAGGGGACCCCTTGGGAATACCAGGTGCTGTAAGCTTGGATGTACGTGTGGTTTAATGGATAACGGCTAGGGAATTTTAAATCTGAGAGCCGAGTTCCAATTTCGGTTGTGTTCGTTATTTTCACTTCAATGCAAAAAAAAAAAAAACTGAAAAATTCTGAATCCACCTCTTCCCCCTAGCTATGGGTTAATTATTAAGACCTGTTACTAAAACATTATTATTAAAAAAATCTTGGAATCTAAAAGTATTTTTCTGGCTTTAAATAACCTGCAAAAGGTTGATAAACCGTAGAAATGCATGAATCAATAATAAAAAAAACAGTTTTGTGCGTTTGATCTTTACTGTTTAATCTTCTGATTTAATTTTTCATTTAGCTGAACTGAATATAAAAATAAAAAATAAACATGAACGAGCATTTATTAAAAATGGTGAAAAAAAAGGTGGAATAAATACTTGTTATTAATTAATCGTCCACTGTAGAGCGATATTTAACAAATAATGAAATATATATTTTATAATGATGTTCAACCTGTAAAAGGCCCAAGAACCACTTCAGGCAGAAGTTTACAGATTAGGGACACAGTTTATGCGAATATGTGGGGAAGAAAAGGATTAAGAGTGTACACAGAGTGAAACTGCTTAGCACAGACTGAACTTGACCACTGTTGTGCACATTAATTTATCACGCAATCGCTCACTTCCTTTGGTTATAGCATGAATAAAATAGTGTGTAGAGTGTGGGCGTCTCACCACATCACAGGGATTCCATCAGTGACCATGACTTGTGCAACAGGTCTAGGCATAGAACAATATTCCCTAGGTTTAACAACCGCCATATTCCCCAAATCTCGCCCCTGGCGACGTTTACCTCATTCCAAAAATGTCAAATCCCACCTGGAAAGGACAAGATTTCAAGACGTCGAGTAAATCCAAGAGAATCCGCCGAGGCAGCTGTTCACTATTCCCAGAAAAAGGAGTTCTAGGAATGCTTCCATCAAGGGGAAATAAGTGGCTTCAGAAGAGCGCTGCTTTGAAGGAGATTAAATGCCGAACTGATATGTCTTGTGGTTTTCTTTTATAACACTAGGACGACTACTCTTTGATCTGACCCCGCATATACGTATGCTTGTTCCATTTAATATATAGTGACCACGTTCACACACACACACACACACGCACACACACATACGCACGCACGCACACACACACATACTTTGACTGAGTTTGAAAGAAAACAATACATTCCCTTCTCAGTCTGGACAATACCTACTCTGGGCTGTGTAATAAAATCATAAATTTGAAGACAAGGAAAAAAACACTATATGAATTTCTGGGGTGAGGAGTCATCGTTATTTACTCTATTTACAGTATTTTTCGGCTTACAAGACGCTTCAGCTCGGAAGAGACACCCTAATATTGGAACGAAATTTCTAATCAACACATTAACATCGCGTCCCCCATACTGAGGCAACTTATTGTTTACATTAATCATTCATCCAGTTTTGATTGTATGGCAATGCCATACTAGTCAGGAGCAGAAAGGCTCCCGCGGCTGCTTGTAAACAGAGCATGTTTAAGCTTGTGGCTCGGTGCCAGGAAGGTTTATAATCAATGGAATTACTTGTAACAGATACGTACTAATGTTAAATCATATAAAAGGCTGAATTAGATAGATAACTAACATTATAGTGCAATGGCTCAATATACAAACCACATCAAGCCAATTAGGCGACCGTCCAAGCTTATTGGGCCTGGTTGTTACCTTACATTCGTCTTGGAAGACGCTCACGTATTTTTCAGGGTATTTTCTTGGGAAAAAAACGTGTCTTGTAAGCCAGAAAATATGGTATATTCGACTTGTTGTCCTCAGCTTTATTGTTTTTATCACAACGTTTCAGCCGTTGTGACTTCCGTCCTTCTTCATGTTTATATCGATCTTGGTAACCATTAGCGAATTCTGAACTGAACCCTTTATTTAATCTACGGGGTTAGTCTATTCTTGTTCTCCTGTTTATGTCTAGGGATATAATCTAGTTCTTATTTTTCGTACCTTTCTTTTAAGCAAATCCTTCCAAGCAAGGCGCGAGTGCCACTAGCATGCAAGTGGTTGTTGTTCATGATGACGGTCGTCTTCGAGTATAGAATCCAGAGGTTAGCAGTGAATATTTCGAAGACAGTAGGAAAGCGTTGTTCAGGTTAGCAGTGGATATTTTGGTAAAAGTAGCAGGGCATAGTTCGTCCTTCTGTTTCTCTTCGCCTGACAAGCTGGACTGGACATTCAGGTAGAGTAGACAAAAATGGCCGCCTTTATACACGACGGATTGAATGTTCTACGTCTTCTGGTTGGTTGACCTTCTATTGGTGGACTATAAAGTGAGTCAAGTCATCTGGGCTAACTCACTAGTACATAACATACACAAAAAACTGCAACAGTGGTTACAGAGAGTGAAAGTAAGAATAAAGAGGAGTGTTTGAGATAAGGATAAGGAGTTGGACAGAGATCAAGGTCAAGGCATAAGAAGATGTCGATTGACAATACATTTGAATATTTGAAGGTTATAGCTATCAGGAAGCAAGTGAGAAGAAGGACGAGAGGTGCGAGATAAGAACCTGTTGTAGAAGAGTGGCTACATTTAGCCCTTTCGACAGTAAAAGGGTGGGACCAACCTAAGAGCACGTTTAAATTAATTCAGTTTAGGTACCAGTGAAAGTAGCTTATCAGAGCAGTTGCCATGAACGTACTTGTAGAAAAGATGGAAGGAAGCCAAAAAACATCTGTGACTGCAGACGGGATGCCAAATCAAGACCAACTACGTTGCATATCTGTCTCTGGATTTTTTCGAGGACCTCGAGATGAACAGCGGAAGCATCAGACCATATATGGCAGCAAGTATTCCATGCAAGGACGAATGGTTGATTTGTAGATTTGAAGGATGGACTCCGGCTAGAAAAAACCTTCTGGCGCTACACCGAGAAACAACTTTCTTTGCGGTAGATGAAGCTATAGATTCGATGACGTTGTTCCACTTGTTCCAGTGTAAAACGTGAATCCAAGCAGGCGCAGAGAGATGCTCTCATGAAGTTGGGCATCACCCATCTTGATGGGAGGCAGGGAGGGTTTCTCTATAGTGGAGAACAGTTTCGTTTTAGAGGCATTAAAGTTTACAAGCCGTTTTCTGCCCACAGTCAACCACAGGTTGGAGGTCCTTCTCGAGGCCTATAGCCAGGTTAGTTTTGTCAACGATGCAGGATCTACTATTAAGACAAGAGTAAATGCTAATGTCGTCAGCGTAGATGTCAACTTGGGAGTTGATGATATCAGGAAGATCGTTACGCTATCTGTAGACGTGGGATTGTTATTTTAATTTCTTATTGCTTGGAATAAAATGATTAACAGAAACAATTCTATTCTAATGGAAACCTAAGAAATGGAAACGTTTTTAGACAAACCGATGCTTATTGATGACGGGTCCCTTTCTTGGCGCGATGTTAAGCAAGTTTATCAGAATCGGATCGATTGTATAATGATCTTGATACACACGGGATGGTTTCTTACTTTATTCTTGTAATTTACTTAAAACATATCCGAACGAACCTAAATACAAAAATAATATAAGAGAGAGAGAGAGAGAGAGAGAGAGAGAGAGAGAGAGAGAGAGAGAGAGGAGTGAGTTCAATGCTTGGAACAGTGGTTAGCAAGATAATCTCGGATAATTCAGTCCTCATAGAATGTTCCGTTGTTGTGATAAATAAAAGGGATAGAGAAAGAAAGTGAGGTAAATGAGAAAAAAGGAGAAGGAAGGAAGGAAAGAAAGAAAGAAAGAAAGAAAGAAAGAAAGAAAGAAAGAAAGAAAGGAAAAGAAAATAGTTGGAGAAAAAGAAAGGAAGGAAAAGATAAAGAAAATGTAACGTCATGAAAGAGAAAAAAAATGAAGAAATAAGAAGTGAAAAGAAGGAATAAAGAAAACGAAAGAAAGAAAAAAAAGAGTAAAAAAAAGAAGAAAAGAAATAAAGAACCAAACTGGAAAGAATGAAAACAAATAAAGGAAGAAAGAAATGAAAAGAGTAAAAAAAAAGAAAGAAAGAACCAAAGTGGAAAGAATGAAAACAAATAAATAAATATATAGTGGAAAAATAAAATAATTTGATGAGAAAGGAAGAAAGAAAAGAAAATCAGGAAAGAAAAAAAAGGGAAAGGAAGAAGCAAACGGACAAATGAAAGGGAAAAAAAAAAAGAAAAACAGAGGTATTGGAAAGAAATGAGGAAAAGAAAATAACAAGATAAAAAGAAAAAAAGAAAGAAAGAAAAAATAGGAAAATAAAGAAAATGAAAGAAGGGAAAGAAAGAAAGAAAGTGGGTGTGCGATTACTAAATCTAAATTTGGAGGACAGAGAAAGAGAGAAACTCGTATCAAGTGCGGAAGACACAAATAAACACACGATCAAATAAAACGGATAATAAAAAGTGAAGTTGCCATATTGTTAAAAAAGAAAAAAAAAACAGAGAGAACAGGGTAGGATATAAAGCTAGTAACGACTACATCGACAGTTGGTGGATGCACAAATGAATAGACATTGGTAGAGGATAGTCATCCCGCTCCCACCCACGACAACGAAGACGCAGTTTGGAACATGAAAAATGATGGTGGCGCAAACAACAAATGACATAAAATGTTGAATGCGGCAAAAGAAAGAAACTGAGAATTGTACACACAAAGGAGTTTGTTAGTGGCTATTTGATTGAGACAGGGCTTTTCACGAACCGGTGCCTGGATGTCCGTTGTAGTTCCGTTCTGCTCGTCGCCATTGTTCGAATGCTACGCGCCGCCATTTAAATCTGGATACTCCGAGCAAAATAATTAGGGTCGGTTCGGCAACAGGAGGTTGATCGAACCATGATTGCAACAAAAAGAAAAAAAAAAACAGACCTATCTTCCAGAAATATATATAGACATGGAAATCTGAGCATGCGCAGAAACTCACAGGAACTGGATCGTTTCAAACACATACTGAACTACCATCAGATTCACGTA